GCCACTTAGCTGAGAGGAACAGCAGTAAATGTTGATAGAGAAGATAGTTTGAGGACATAACTGTTGTCTTCATAGGCCAGAACAGATGATACTTTATGAACCTCTATTCTTCCCCTTAATTTATTATAGTTCAGCAGTTTATTCCTAGTTTGAGAAGGCATTTGGTTGGTCCTGTCATTTCTATAGCTAAGTAAGTAATAGTCCTCAGACAATGAGAAAATTTATGTAAATATGTTTTGGATATGGTAAATAGGAACTTATTTTTTATTATCAACTTGGGAAGTACTTTTGATACCAGTTATTATTATTATTTTTTAAATATATTTTATTGATTTTTTTACAGAGAGGAAGGGAGAGAGATAGTTAGAAACATCAATGAGAGAGAAACAAGGAAAACCTGGTAACCATCAGAAAGAAAAAATAGCTACTCTTATTTGCAAGAGCTGCCTCCTGCACACTCCCTACTGGGGATGTGCCCACAACCAAGGTACATGCCCTTTACCGGAATTGAACTCTTCAGACCGCAGGCTGACGCTCTATCCACTGAGCCAAACCGGTTAGGGCTTGATACCAGTTTTTAATTGTCCTCGTCAAGGACAGAGATTACTTTTTTGGATGCTGTCTTGTAGAGTGGTGAGGTATGGATACAAATTTCTCTAATTTGATGATTCTTAATCTTTTGTTTATTAATCTTGTATTAATAGGCTTTGTTTTTTTTTAAAGTTTTAGACTTACAGAAAATTTGAGCAGATAGTACAGAAAGTTCCCATATACCTCTCTCCCGCTGTTTCTTCTATCTTACATTAATATATTTGCCACCATTAATGAATCCATATTGCTCATTGTTATTAACTAAAGCCCCTCTTTATTCAGATTTCCTTAGTTTTTGTATGTTATTTTTTTTAGTAGAGGATCCCATTCAGCTTAGTTGTCATGTTTCGCTGTCATGTTGGTTATATTCACATTACACTTAGTTGTCATTTTTCCTTGGGTTCCTCTTAGCTGTGGCATTAACCTTCGTATTTGGGTCATGAACTGGTTTGAAAATCCGCTGCACACCGTGGATCCTCTCCAAAGAAAAATGCTCCTGCTTCAGATGTCTGCTTGAAGGGAGGTCCATGCGTCGCAGGTTTACAAGCCCTGCTTGGGAGGAATGGATGGTCTTTAAACCACCCCCTTCCCCACATTTGGGCTCCATCAGGCTCTACCTCTGAATTACTGTGTGACCTTTTTGCAAAGTTGTTTTGTGTGTGTGTGTGTGTGTGTGTGTGTGTGTGTTTCCCCCCCTTCATGGGCCTCAATTTCACTGTCTGTGCGGTGAGGGGTGTGTTTCTCCTGATGGCACCGTAGAAGGCGGTAGTCACCCAGAGCTGTCAACATCTGGGGCAGACTCATAACATGACCACGCTAGGTCATGCCAGGGAAGTGATGGGCTTATCGATAAGGAGGTTGCAAAGACTCTGTGGGGAGAAAAAAACAATACCCAGTTGGGGAGAAAAAAAACAGTACCTGGGTTCCACCTTAGTTCTGTGGATTTTGTTAAGTAATTTCCTTCCTCAGCTTTGCTTTCCTCATCTGCAAAACTGGGGGCCCTTCTTCTAGTAGTTATGAAACTCCTGGGAGCATCAGCCTAGAAGGTACCTAGTAAGAATTCGTGTGATGATTTATGATAAGAAAGAACAAGGGACGGTGCACGGGTGAAGGGCGGAGCTGAGGACTGTGAGGCAGGCCTGAAGGCTCGGGATAGAGGAACCTAGCTCACACCTTGGCTCCCCGACCACACTAGTGCATTGCAGGGCGCAATTCCACCTCCATTCCGCCTCCGTCCCCGCCCCACTTTACTGCCCCGCCCTCGGGCTTCGAGGCGCCACACTTCGCATGGCCGCCGCGACACGACGCTTTCTCCCCAGCGAGGGCCGCGCGCGCTCTTGCGCCGCCACCTCACTCCCGTCCCGCCTTTGGTCTCTTCCGATTGGCTCATCACGTATGTGACGTATTCGCCCCTCCCCTGCTGGTTCCACCCGCCTCACTTCCCCCGGCTCCGCCCCGCCCCCTCCTAGCTTCTGACTTGAGTCGAAACCAAACTGGCTCTCGTCTAAGCTTCGCGGGAGGAGCCGGGAGAGCAGGCTGAACCAGGAAGACGCCGGCTATGGCGCGCGCGCACGCACGCACGCACGCACTCACGCCAAGGCCGGCGGGGCGCGGGCTCGTGCCCGGGCTCGCCCTGCGCCGCCTGAGGCACGCGCATTCAGCAGGTTGGGCTGCGGCGGCGGCGGCGGCAGCTGTGGGCACTGAGGCGCTGCGTGTCAGAGGTCCCAGACGTCTGCGGCTCCGGCTCCGGCTCCGGCTCCGCCACCCTCCGCCTCCCACCCCAGTCTCCGCGCCGGGTTCGGAGGACGGCACGGCGCTAGCCCTTGGGAACGCCGAGCACACCGCTGGCTTCCGATACCGCCCTCCTGCCCTACCCAGCCGCGGGCCTCGCTCGGTGCTAGGGCGACTTTGGCGGGGAGGCGGCGGCCGACGGTTTGCCTGTCTGTGAAAGAGGAGCCCTGCCCCCAGCCCTTGCTCCCGCCGGCCCGGCCCTGCAGGGGGCCGAGAAGAGCTTCGGCCACCCGCCCCTTTTTCGTCAAACCGGTTGAGAGCAGCGTTCGGTCCCGAGTCGGTCCGGGAGGCTCTGGGCTGCGGGCAGTCCGCTTCCTCCGGCTCCATCATGTCCACGGGCGGAGACTTCGGGAATCCGCTGAGGAAATTCAAGCTGGTGTTCCTGGGGGAGCAGAGCGGTGAGTGCGCGGCTCCCCCACTCCTGGCTGCCGGCTGCAGCGTCCCCGCACCGCCCCCAGTGCGGCCCTTCCGTCCTCGGAGGCTCCCTGCCGGCCTCGCCTTCGCGCTCGGTTCCGCCCCCAGCCCTCCCCCGGGTTCACCGACCCCTCGGAGCCACCGGTGCCTTTTCGCTTCGACCCGTCTGTCGGATTTTGACCCTTTCGTCCCCGGCTCCGGCGTCTCCTTTCCCCGCAGCCCGGCCTCCTTCCGTCGGTCCCCCTCCCCAGCCCCCTCCCCACTCCGCCCAGCCCCAGCCTCTTGTCCTTCCCTTTCTTCCCTCGGTCTCCGTCGTCTCACCCACCCAGCCCCCTTCCTGGAGCCCCACCCTTATTCCTTGCTCGTGTCCCAGCGCCTGGGCTCCGTGAGGCCCACCCTGGCGAGGCCCATTCCCGGGAACCGGGAACCAGCCCCCTGCAGCCTTGGGCCAGGCGGGTGGGATCTGGGCGTTGTTTTCCCCAGAGGCTGGGCCCTGAGAAGTGCGGATCTAATGGAAGTGGGGGTCGAATAAAATTCTTGGATAGTTTTCACCTGGGTGGGGAATTCGTCTGGGTTGTAGAGGAGAGGTATCTGAATTGGAGGCGACTGGATGGAGTAGTGGGAGGTGTGTGTGTGTGTGGGGGGGGGGGGGGTGGCCGTCAGCAGGTGGCCGATTTTTGCCCCTTGGTTAGGCTGTGGCTTGTTGGAAAACCTCCTTTTCTTCTCTTGACTTTCATTCCCGACAGTTCTTTTGACAGTGTTGGTGCTTTCCCGACCTCTGCCAGATGCTATGTCATGATCGTTTTGCTTGGAATTTTTCACATCTCACCTCTCCTTTTTCTCGTTTCTCTATGAAGCGGTGTCTGATTGTCCTCACGGGGGTGCCAACAGGAATTACTGGGGAAACTGTTAGTTATCCCATTTCTTCTTGAGTATTTTCCAATCATATATTTACGATTCCTGCGAGAGAAGGTTTGAGAATAACGAACATCTTTGTTTGGAGGATTTCCCTTGGGGTTAGAGAGTGTTGAAGTAGGGATTGATTCATCAGTTAGTTTTCTAAATTAGATTTAATATGTAATATCTCTTCAGCTAAATGACTCTTTTATGCTTAATATTCCAGACTGTCTGATAAGTGAAATTGTTATCTCATTTACCTGGTCAGGCTTCTGCTGTCGCTGTAGTTTGTGTTAGATACAGGATCCTAATATTGTGATGGTTGTGTCTAAAATTACTTCCTGTGGTAATTCCAATTTTATGCTGTATTATGCAAACTTGATACTTGGCAGTTTAGAGATTATAGTCCGTTGTTTTTCTCACACTTTTCATGGTCATCTTTAGAATTCACTCATTGAGAGATTAGTTTCTCCCAACTCTTCAAACATTGAGTTACCCTCTAGCTGTTTTAAAGAAAGGTTAGGTTATAGAAAACATTTGTTATCTTTTGGTTGGAAAGAAGATAACTGATACAAGTTCAGAACTTGAATTATGTATACTAACACTAACTAGGTTAGTATTAGTTGCAAAATTGCTTCCAGTTGGATCTGAGAAATTAATTTTCTCCTTTTCAACATAATATTTTCCCTCCCCCTCTTACCAAGGAAAAATGTAGCCTTCTCTTTGCTTATGACTTTTCCTGAAGTAAGTATAATCTTGTTTCTTTTCTTTTTATTGATTGATTGATTTTAGAGGGAGAGGAAAGGAGGGACGATGGTGACAGGGAGGAAGACTGACACAGATAGAGACAGAGAGACATTGATTTCTTGTTCCACTTATTTATGCATTCTTTGGTTGATTCTTGTTTTTGCCCTGACCAGGAATTGAACCTACAACCTTGGTATATGGGATGATGCTCTAACCAACTGAACTACCCCGCCAGAACAGTTTTAGATTTATAGAAAAATTGAAAAGATCATGCAAAGGGTTTCCATATAGCCCCACCCAGTTTTCAGTATTATTAATATCTGACATTAGTATGGCACATTTGTTACAATTAATAAACTAATAATACATTATTAACTAAAGTCCATAGTTTATTCAGATTTCCTTAGTTTTTGTCTTTTTTTTGTTTCAGCATTAATTTCTGGATAACATATTTAGTTGTCCTATCTTCTTAAGCTCCTCTTAGAATATTTTTTAGGATTGTTTATATGCTTTTTATTTTTAACTCTATGTAACTGTGAGGTTAATATCTTTTGAGGTTACTATATTTCTAAGTAATGCCATCCAATAGCTTTGACAATGACAGATTGATCTTTGTTTTTATGGGCAATGTCTGTAATTTTTGTACATTAGCAAAGATCTGTAGAATCCATGTCATCTTGATGTTAACTCTTCATGAATTATTTATCTTTAGGTTTTAGAATTACACAATTCAGCTTTCAGAGACTAATCTGTGGTAAAGCCTGTTCGTTTCCTTAATAGCATTTACCACATTTATAATTCTTACTAGTGGCCTGGTGCATGAAATTCGTGTGGAGGGGGGCGGTGTCCCTCAGCCCAGCCTGCACCCTCTCCAATCTGGGACCCCTTGGGGGATGTCCAACTGTCGATTTAGGCCTGGTCCTGTGGGATGGGGCCTAAATCGGCAGTTGGACATCCCTCTCTTAATCCAGGACTGCTGGCTCCTAACCGCTTGCCTGCCTGCCTGCCTGATTGCCCCTAACCACTCTGCCTGCTGGCCTGCTCGCTCCCAACTGCCCCCCCCCCACCGGCCTGCTTGCTCCCAACTGGCCCTCCCTGCCAGCCTGCTCACCCCCAACTGCCCCCCCTCCCCCGCCAGCCTGATCACCCCAACTGCCCCCCCCTCCTGGCCTGATTGCCCCTAACCCCCTCTGCCCCGCCACCCTGGCTTTGTCCGGAAGGATGTCTGGAAGTCTCCCGGTCTAATTAGCATATTACCCTTTTATTAGTATAGATTTTTTATGTGTTTGTTTTTGTCTATTTCCCACAGCAGAATACAAGCAAGCCCCCATCCATGAAGATTAAAAACTTTTTTTTTTTTTTTTTTTTGGTTCATTGTATCCCCAGTGCCAGGCTCATAGTACGTACTTGAAATATTTGGTGAATGAATGGTTAAATATAAAAGTAACCAAAGCTGTAACCTATATTAATCTTTGCTATGGAGAGACCTAAATTTTTTCCTTCTATAATTAATGGTTTAACAATAACATTTTATATTTATATTATTTGATTGTATTCAGGGTTACTGCAGATGCTTAGCTGGGGCAGGGAACCCAGTAATTTATTGTCCTCACCATTTCACTAAAAAAAAAAAAGTGGCCAGGATTTCACACTTTTTTTGAGTTGAGCAAAATTTAGACTGTTTTTCATCTTATCAAAAATTTAAGGTCTTATTGTTTCAGTACACGAAGCCTCAGATTGAATAAATGACATCAATCTTGGTAGTCTTCCTATAAGTTCTTATGGTTTCTTTATATTTCAGTAGTGTACATGGTTTAATGAAGGAATGTTGAAATACATGATTTGAATCTGAAGTTTCTTCAAGGAATCCCTTTTTTACTACCTGTCGCTATTGTCTTGAAATGCAGAGGTACTTTTAGGAATGTCATTTTCATTTACTGTAGAAGATATTACTACAGCCATAACTGGTTTGACTCAGTGGATAGAGCGTCGGCCTGCGGACTGAAAGGTCCCGGGTTCGATTCCGGTCAAGGGCATGTACCTTGGTTGCGGGCACATCTCCAGTAGGGAGTGTGCAGGAGGCAGCTGATCGATGTTTCTCTCTCATTGATGTTTCTAACTCTATCTCTCTCCCTTCCTCTCTGTAAAAAAGTCAATAAAATATATTTAAAAAAAAAAGATATTGGGGGTTAATCGGGGGGGGGGGGAATGAGGACACATTTGTAATTCCTTAACTAATAAAGAATTTAAAGATTAAAAAAAAAGAAGATATTACTACAAACAAATATTATAGGTTACAAATTAGGAAATGTGAGATCAGGAAAAAGCACATACCTCGCCTATACCTCGCCTATTACTGCTTATTTTTCATGGTATTTAAAATTTTTTTTTAACATTTCTTTTAAAAATAATTCTTTAATTAAAAAAAATGATTTTAGAGAGAGGAAGGGGGGAGAGAGAGAGAGAGAGAGAGAGAGAGAGAGAGAGAGAGAGACATTGATGTGAGAGAAACATTGACTGGTTGCCTCTTGTAAGTACCCTGACTGAGAATGGGCAACCTAGGTATGTATGCTGACTGGCAATCAAGTCTGCAACCTTTCAGTGTATGGGATGACGCTCCAACCAACTGAGCCACACTGGCCAGTGCTACATCAGTTCTTTTGACTTAAAAAAATTATTTTACTATGACAGACTAGGCGTACTGAACAGTTTAGATTGGCTAGATCAGTGAACTTAAACTTTTTTAAAGATGGGTTATGCACTTACAAATTATTGAAGCCTCTAAAGAGCTCTGCTTATGTGATTGATTTGTTATTTATTGACCTGAGAGAAAGAGAGAGACATTGATTTGTTGTTCCACTTATTCATTTATTCATTGGTTGATTCTTGTATGTGCCCTGACCAGGAATCAAATCTGAGACCCTTTGATGCTCGGGCCGATGCTCTAACCACTTAACAGCACCACCCAGGGTTCAATTTTTTTTTTAATCTAAAAATAAAGATAATAGGGTCTATCATATAAACTTACTGTAAAGATTAAATTATTTAACAAGTGTATTTAAAAGAGTGCCTGGCACATAAGAAGAGCTCAGTAAATATTTTAACTTAACAAATGTTAACTAAAAACTGCTGTAGCCAGTTGCTCAGTGGTTAGAGAATCATCCCGAAGGGTCTGACCGAAGGGTCTTAGGTTCGATTTCCAGTCAAGGGGCATATACCTCTGTTGTAGGCGCGATTCCCGCCCTGGTCGGGGCACATGCAGGAGGCAACCAATCAATGTGTCTCTCTTACACATGATGTTTCTCTCCCCTTCTTACCCCTTCCTCCTCTCTCTCTCTAC